TAGTAGCCTGTTAATGAGGTCATGTTCTTTTTTTATTTGAGGGGCCCATTTCGTACGGAAGATTTCAACCACTACCCCTTGTAACTCAGTTCCAAGAGGCAAGGTGACACTCGAAAACAAGGGGTAGGGGTAAAAATATCAAATGTGATTGGACCTAAGAAAATAGGACTCCTAACAATCATGCAACACCTAGATGACCACCAAAACTGTCATCATCAGATAAACAGTACTTTGAGAGAAAGGTGAAAATCAAGCTCCACTCTTGCTTCAGATCTGAAAACGTCCACAAGTGTTTCTGTCCATCCTTCCACTGTGAGAAGACAACAACACTATGGGCCTGAAAGGATGTGTAGCTGTCAAGAAACTTTTACTGAGAAAAGGAAAATTTGCCAGTTAAACAGAGAAGCTGCTGGTGTTCTAAGAAAAATAGACTGACCACCTGAGAGTCCAGACCTGATCACTGAATGTATTTGAGATTAATGAAACACAGGAAGCAGAAAATGCAACCAACCTCTACGATTGAAGCTTGGAGGTGTAGAAAGAAAAATAAAAAAATAACAATTTGACAAAGTTTTAAAACGAAAAATATCATTTTAAAGGATCATTCTTTTAAATAAGAGAGCAAGATGAACCTCTTTAAAAGCTTAAAGAACCTTCAGCAAATGTAAAGGTTCTATACCAATTCATTTTTTTTCTTAAGACCATACTTACAAGTCTAGAACCATTTAGGACCCTTTACTTTTATGACTGTATGACATCGATTTTACAAAAAGGAAACTCTCTCTCTCTCTTTTACACATACACATTCATATTTTCTAATCCACCCCTGTGGTCAGATGTTTCCATAGGAACCCTGTGAAGCAGCCTGTGCTGCAGCAGTGATTGTCTCTTGCCAGTGTCAGAAGCCTGGGTGAAGTGGTTCAGTGGTGTGGGCTGCTGGGCCGGAGCTTTTGGGTTCAGGCCTGGTTAATAAAGTCTTCCAGCAGCTCCCTGAGGAAATCAGCCTCTACCTGCTGCACACAAGTGCCCCTTCCTCCCTCTCTTCACCACACATGCTCTGCCTTATTCAGGAGATATTTGGACTCATACATCCATTTTTTCCCCTCAAAGAGAAATGTCACCAGCCCCATGTAGCCTGTACCATATCCAATCAACTCTTGGCTTCCAGCAGACTGAAACTAGTGCAGTGCTCCCTGCTGCTAATCTCCTGCCATGGCACCCTGAGGCTAGCTGGTTCACTAATGAAGATGACATTGTGTCATTCCTTGCACCACTTTTTCAAAAAGTACGCAAATAAATGGTCCTAAAATCTCTTTTTCAAAGGCCACTTCAGTTCATTAATCTAATCCACACACTAAAATCCCACTGAACTGAGCGATCTACACTCTCAAAAATAAAGGTATGAAACTGTCACTGGGGCAGTACCCCTCCTGTAACTGGGGTGGTACTCTCAAGGGTACATCTCAGTACCTTTTAGTCAGGGAACATAACTGTACCAGAATCCTCTGATATTATATTTTTTGTTATTGTGACTCCACACACCCCGTCTCGTCTCCAGACTTTTTATTTTATTGTTCTGTTTTAAAACATCAGGTTATGAAAAGGTACAAATACGTACTTTTCACCTGGAAAAACGTATTTAAGGTTCACAATCGGACCTTAAAACCACTGTTGTACCTTTTTTGAGGGCACATTTACATTGTTTGTACCCTGATAAATGAAAAATGTACCTGCACAGAACCTTCATTTCTAACAGTGTATACTACCCTAGAGATGTTATAAAGGGGGAGATATTATAAAGGAGTTCACTGGTGGTAAAATACATGAGAAAGCTTGTAACTCTCAACATGGCAGTCAGTTTATGGAGAAAATCTTGTCCTTTAATAAGATAAACATCAAGTGGGAAAAGCTTCTCTTCTTTGTGGAGATGTGCGCCGTAGCCAGAAAAAGCTGAAAAAACATTGTTTTGTGTGTTAATTAAGCCAAAAGGTACAAACTATTTGAGTTTTTGTCAGATTTTATCAGTGATTTCAAAATATGAACTGTTAATTCAGCTTTTAGTTTGAGGTGTATAGGTCTCTCCTTGTTCAAAGAGAAAAGGAGCCTGGTCATGCATTGGTGGAAATAACTTCCCGGGAGGTATTGCTAAGATGACCGTTGAGTAAACAGACTTTCCTATACAGACGATGGCTACTTCCACCAATGTGTTCTTTCATAGCAACTGCTGCCAGATTGTTTTAGCTTTAAAAAATGTAGGCAAAAATCCAAGTTGCTACAAAACACTGGTGCAAAAAATGTCACTTTTTGAAATTATGCAGAATAATTTTGGTTGGAGTGGATATGTGCACCACACACACTGAGTTCTGGCAAAAAAACCTCTCTGGCAATGTATCTCAGCAATAAGCTATCTGAACAGCTAACTGCACTAGCTTTCATTTGTATCAACATTACTTGATTATTGCATCCACATAAAAGTGTCAACTTCTTCTCAGAAAAAGTCTGCCTTCTGACGCTTATCATACAGTTACCTGATATGAGAACATATTTCTGTCTAATACCGACATTCAGTTAATAGACATATCACTTTGTTTAGAACAGTTGAGTAGCAAAAGATCTGCAAGATATTTGCACCTATTGCCTACATTATGTTCACGTTTTACAAATTAAATTAAACCCATAATAGATTTTTATTTTTATTAAGTTATAGTAGTTTGCCATGAATTGAAAAAAGAAAGAAGCTTCTAGTGGGAGACGACTTAGACCACATTTTCAGCTCTGCTACAAAATGTTGCCTTTTCACTTTAAATGCTACACTACTGAGGAGTCTAAGGCCACTAAGGAGGCTGGAAATGATGTTTGTCAACAAACAAAAAGCTACATCCCAACCATCCCCCCAGTGTTACATTTAATAACATGCAGAATAAGCGCTATTTGAAAGTAATAAAACATGTAAATGTAGGAATTTTGACGCTACAATTTTTCTTAGGCTGAATGGGATTTTAACCAATGCCTTGTTAAGCCTGTTCAACCTGGCAACAGTTGCTATGAAGGAATGCATCTGTATGCATGGATAGATCTGTCAAATACTTAAACAGCCCCTTTCACTATTTACAGGATTATTTTTTCTAAAGCAGTTCTCTCCAGGAACGGCTTTGCTTGTTCATTAAAATATTTCTTGACTAAGTATTCATTAGCGCTGGCTATGATCAGGCTTGTCAGATAACCTTAGATCTGAGAACACTCACTGATGGCAGCAGATTTATGTTAGCATTCAAACATGGCGAGCAAAGTGACCAGTGGGTGTGTGGGTCAAAGCATGAGTCAAGGCTTAATTACAGCTCTGAAAGTCTCATTCAGCAAAACGAAGTCACAAGTAATATTTTTTCTTCATCACTTGAACACTAAAATGGCCATCTGGCACAGAAAACCCAAACAAGCTTGAAGTTGTCTGGTCCAAGAGCTCATTTTCTTTTTTAATAAGAGTTTGATGTAGTAAAGTAATGTCTGTGTAAACACTTGAAACATTTGGAGCTTTGACATATCCTTCTTTCTGTCCTCTATGTATAGCATTTACTCCCCAGTCCAGAGAAGTTAAGCTGCAAAAACAGCCTGTTTTGAGTTTGTTGTTTTTGTGATGTCAAGGAAGCCAAAGAATTTATATACAGGGGGGTCCAAAAGTCTGACACCACTGGTGAAAATGTTTTTCTATTTTGCATTCCTTTCTAATTCAATTCATTTATTTCAATACAAATGTTATCAGCATAACAATTTGAGTTATATACATTTGCTTTAATGATAGCGTGAACTCAAGCAGGCGTAGACGCCATAAGTTTGTGCACAAGCCTCTGATCGGTAGATCAAATCCACCTAAGAGTCATCTCAACATAAGTTTCAATGGAAGGAAAAAGACAAAAAAAATCCCTCTTTGTACAAAGAGCTCAAAATGGTCGATGTTACAAATGTACTTCATTTTGAACAGTGACCTAGAAATTCAAATATTTTGTCTTTATTTTGATTGTTATAACATTTCTTTTGTTTTTTTTTATTTCTAAATATTTCTCTTGTTTATTTCAATGTTTAAATTAAACAAATACCAGATTTTCAACCATCTCATACTTTGCACTCTGTACACTGTATATCTGCATATTCAGCCTACAGAAGTTTAGCTGTAGTTATCAGTGTTTCAGCCTGGACTGCTTTTTGAATGAAGCACAATACAGGGCAGGCAATTAGAACAAAGGTCATTTACATATCCATTTTCAAGCAGTGGTTTGGCAAAAATACATATCCAAAACTTCTTTCAACCCACTTAAACAGCAGGTCTTTATTAAGGCTGGGAAGACTGTCTAGTGTTGTTAAGAACACAGTTTGATTTGCTGTGAAACTACAGAAATGAACAAAACTTCACTGTGTTGAACACTGAGAGCCACTTCAGACAACAGGATCTGTACTCGCACACCACCTCATGAGTAGGGGTTCTGATCTAGAAGCAGTATTTGTGACAGTGACTGTCATAAATATGAAGAAATCTGATTTAGGATCAGTTTTTCTTTGTGGCTTTATCTGAAATCACTGAAGTTTTGTTCAGTTTTATAGCTCACAGTAAGTAAATTTCGACTTCAAACACGTCTTGGGTAGTAAGTTCCTTTAAAAGCATTAGTAACAAAACAGAGAGGTTGGAAAATGGTCATGTAAGAATGTATTATGTTTTTTGTACATACACCCAGACAAACGTCATAAGAATATCTCAAGGAAAAAAAAATAGAAGAAAAAAGTTGGATATTAGACCTTTTGATATTCACAGTAGTACACAGAAATATGTATTCACTCTGTGAAGGAGGGTATCATCTCAACAGGAGTGTTGGAAAATGGTCTGGTTGAAATGTAATTTCACTGTAATGTTTCGTCAGTTATACAGGCAAAACATTCAGGGATTTTGCTATGGACATGCAGACATAATGCCTCTCTCTCTCTCTCTCTCTCTCTCTCTCTCTCTCCAGATTTACATTCCATGCAGAAGCGCTCTTGTTCTAGCTAATGAAGACCATTATGACCACTGAATGCAGCGTGTGGATGGAGTCCAGCTGAAGTCACTGCAGTCTGCACTCCTTTAAACCAGGGATTTGTGCATAAAGTAATGTAGCCATTCATTTTGAAAGATAAGTGCAAATTCCAGAAGCCCAACAGTGTAGTTTTAACCTCCTCAGTTTACAAACACTGAAATATGAAACATTATGTGCTTTGAAATATCCTTCTTTTTTGTCCTTTCTGTCTGTTGGTTTGTGCATTCACAGCTGCGCCTGCCGATTTGACAAGGACAACATGCCCCAGTTACTTCCCTCAGTATTTCTTTTTTTTTTCCTTTTCACAGCACAAGCTGCTACTTTATTGTACCTAAATGAATCCCTGATTCCTGCTTCATGCATTGACAAAGAGGATGCTTTGTTTTGTTCCAGAGAAAACAGAGATCTTTGACCACGATTCTTTATCCACACCCCCTCCAATCTGTGCTACACATTCACTCGAGAGCACAGAGCGACTTCCACTTCCACTGTTACAAAGGACTGAGAATAAACACCAGGTGTTTCGGTCGACACGTTCCAGCTTTAGCAGGTGATTTTATGCATTTAGCTGCATTATTTCAAGCAAATGAGCAATGAAATGTGAAATTGGAAAACGGGCAACTTATTTATTGTTGATATTTTTAAAGGAATGCTCCAGCATTTTTCAGTCTCCCGCATCTAGAACATAGGCTTGATTACACAGTAACGCGTTACAGTAATGTGATTCCTTTTTGTTGTAACAAAGTAGTGTAACACATTACAGTTACTGACTTAATAAGAATGAAGTTACTTGTGTTATTCATGTCTCAAAGAGAACTAAATGAATTAGGTGTGATACAATTAATTCGTAAATTTCCGCTATATAGATTATTTGTGCGTAATTTTCATTCATTAGGGCTACATGCAACAGCCTACTGTGTGACTTTGAACAAATGTGAGTAACTTGTAAAGTTGGCGAACAATCTGTCAAACCACCATTAGTGCAAAAGTTTGGGCACCCCGGTCAAATTATGTTTTGTGGATTTTCTAAGTGAAAATAAGTGAACACCTCCGCTATAGAGACACGCTTCTGGACATTTTAATGCACAAATACTGTTTATTTGCTGCATTAGACATATTGGAAAAAATTTAACTTAAAATGTGGCCTGTGTAAAGTTGACACACGTTTTATTTTTTCCAGTATGTTAAATTCAAATAAATAAACAACATGCACTTCAACTTGCAGAAAAATGCCATTTTGAAGGTTTTTCCCTCTTAAGGTTCTATTAATGTATTTTTCACTCAGAAAATTAACAGAACCTGTAAGTTGACCTTTTGCAAACATCTAACTATGCTAATATGATACTGATAGATAAATTTCTCAATGCTGAAGAGGAGAGAACTCTAACCTCACCTGAACAAGTCAGACCTGATTTTCATTCAGAAACAGCTCTGTAGGCATTACATTTTATTCTTAAAGGTTTTATTTTGAGGCAGCTGTTTTTGAACTGTTTCTGCTGGCTAGTTTTTCAGCTTTTGCCATTCATTCAAATCAAGCATAAGCTGTATCTTGTTCAAAGGCAGGATTGCTAACATGCCTTGTACATGATGTTTACTTTGATTGGTTTCTTTTGAAATAAAGTACCGAAAAGGACTACCAGTTTTCCTCTTTACAGTTGGTACAGATTTGTATGAGTTTTAGCGCATGGGCAGTCATGGGCTGGAGGCTAGGGAACCAGCCTTGTGACCGGTTTGATCCCCTAAGCTGACAGGACTAAAGTGCCCTTGAGCAAGGCACCTAACCCCCAACTGCTCCTGTGGCACCACGGATAGGGCTCTAGGTTCTCACTGCCCCCTAGTGTATGTATGTATGTATGTATGTATGTATGTATGTATGTATGTATGTATTTGTGGGTGTCTCACTGCACAGATAGGTTAAATGCAGAGGTCAAACTCCTCTGTGTGCACTATTAGTCAATGGTTCTGAATTCTAACTTAGAAAGAACATGAGTAGTGAGAACATTTTCAATGATGTTCACATTACAGTGTAACCATTACCCAGGTTTGTTACAACAGTATAATAATTAGTAATTAATTTGTATTGAATTACTTTTTTTGAGTAACTAGCCTAAATGGGTCAATTACCTCGGACAATAATTTCAATGTTTTCCTGCAGTTCCCTGAAAAGAAGTGAAACATGTCGAATCAAAATGTGCTTACAATAGCAGACAATGGGCAACTGCTTCAAATTCAAGCCATAAATCTGTATAACTTCAGAGATGAGACCAGTTTCCCAGAGAGGAAAAATGTCTGATAACATGGTTACCAGTGTAATGATGTGTTTTCACAGGCTTCTGTTGAAACTTACTTATAATAGAAGTCAGTGGGCAGATGCTGAAATGTGCACCTGCTCACATTGTAAGTCAACAGGTTTTCTGTTCTTTTTTTAAGTAAGGAATATTATTATCTGTGCTAATCGAATATACGCTACAGATGCAGCTGATTAAGATTAGGCCAAAAAATGTTGGAGTAAGACTTTTGGGATATGAGTTACTGTATTTTTAATTTTTTTTTCTTTTCTTTTCTTTACACTTTATTGAAAGTTTTAAAAATTCTGTAAGCAATATCTACCTGATAAATTCAGTACTCTTTACCTTTCTCTCTCAAACTAATCTCTCTCTCTCTCTCTCTCTTTCTCTTTCCCTCTTACACAAACTCACACACTCATATCTTCACTTTGCTGCAGTGTTCTTTAAATACCAAAAGCATAATTCAGTGCCCCATTTGTAATTTTTACCCACTATCAGGCGACATCACGGTCCAATCAGACGCTTTAAGTGCATGAGGCTCTGGAGTTCTTGTGAGAAATGAGTGTGTTCTCTTGGAAAGCAGAATTCCTCCAGGAGCCCGTGCCAAGCTGTAATGGTGACAGAAAAGGGGAACGACTCCCATTTAATCGTTCTAATGACCAATTATTATTTTTTGTCTCTAATTAATTTAATTGCATCACTTCAGCATTATCTATTGCGACACTTTAATTTCTCCCAAGCACTCAGCTCAAGCGCTTGGACACTAATAGTGGTGTTTATCAGCCCTGCTGTCTGCTACTGCCTTATATTACTGCACAGTCTGAAGAGGTGTAAAGGTAATGTCTGTGAATCAATGAAAGGCATTTATATCCTGAATTCCTTTTAGAGGAAAAAGAAATGTTTTTTTTTCTTTATCATCTTTATCTCTTTGCAGATCTTTCCTTCCTTTGTATGGAGATTGAAGTTAATTAGATTTGATACTTAACCAAATTAGTACTTCTAATAATTAAACATTAACTGAAATATATATGTTCATGTGTGCTTTTTTATCCTTATCAGTACTGCGCAAAGGTCAGAGACCACCCTTCATTTATTTCATTCACAGTCCAAAAGGGCATTAATTACAACTTACTTATTTTTTCAGGAGATATTTCTGAGTAAATTAAACATAATATAATCCGCTTGCATACGATAGGGACAAATCAAAGGAAAATAAGTGAAAAACAAGAGTTCCCAAAACTGGTAGTAGACAACAAAACTGTCACCATCAGATAAACAGCACATTCATCTTTGAGAAAGAGGAGAAAATCAAGCTCCACTCTTGCTTCAGATCTGAAAAACTCCACAGCTGTTTCTCTCCATCCTTCTTCCACTGTGAGAAGACAACTCATCACTATGAGTGTAAAGGATGTGTAGCTGTCAAGAACATTAAAGGAAATCCAACCCCAATTCCAAAAAAGTTGGGACACTTACACATCTGGAAAGGCACTATCAATGCTGAACAGTGCATATAGAGGTTTTAGAACATGTGCTCCCATCCAGACAACGTCTCTTTCAGGGAAGGCCTTGCATATTTCAGCAAGACAATGCTAAACCACATACTGCACCCATCACAACAGCATGGCTTTGCAAAAGAAGAATCCGGGTGCTGAACTGGCCGGTCTGCAGTCCAGACCTTTCACCAGTAGAAAAGACACAGAAAACACTTGGCGCATCATGAAAAGAAAAATCCAGCAAAAAAGACCCAGGACTGTTGAGCAGCTAGAATCCTACATCAGAAAAGAATGGGACAACAGTCCTCTCCCAAAACTCCAGCAATTGGTCTCCTCACTTCCCAGACGTTTACAGATTGTTGTTAAAAGAAGAGGGGATGCTACTCAATGGCAGACAGGGCCCTGTCCCAACTTTTTTGAGATGCGTTGCTGCCATCAAGTTCTAAATGAGTTAATATTTTTCATGAAATGGTAAAATGGGTCACTTTCAATCTTTTCATCTGATGTGTGCCTGATCTTCAACTGTGAATAAAATATGGGTCTATGAGATTTGCAAATGATTGCATTCTGTCTTTTACATTTATTTACATTTTTCACAGAATCCCAAACTTTTTGGAATTGGAGTTGGAAAAAAACTGGCAAATCAGACTAATGAGCTGCTGGTGTTCTCAGAGCAACGGACCGACCACCCCATAGTCCAGACCTCAACATCACTTAATTTGTGATTGTGTGATTTGTGTTTGATATCATTAATTTGATATTATTAATATGTAATTTGTTCATATAATACATAGTTGTTGAGTATCTGAATTCTCTGTAAAACATGTTCTATGACAACAGTGAAATTGGAATAACTTGTCCTTAATGGCTGTGATGACTGGAAATTAAATTAATTAACTACGGTCTGTGACTTTTGCTCACTGCTGTACATGGAATAGTTCACTGTTATGCAATGTAACTTTAATTTATATATTGAATATAGTCACTAAGTGTTCATTCTGCTGGGCAGTAGCTGGAAAACATGAAAGCATTAAAAAAAACATGGACATTTATTAATATATCAAAAACAAAATCATTTTCCCACTGCAATTAAACTTTCCTCCAGTCAGCAGCTCACAAAATCTTCACTGAATGCTCTTCCTTGTTATGTACAAAAGATGTACAAAATTACCACCCTTCATTTATTTCATTTCCAGTCAAACAGTCAACGGTCATTTAGTACAAGTTATTATTTTTTGTCGGGGGGAAAAAAGCAGAGAACATATTACAACAGAAAATTACACAGAAGCCTCGACCACTTAATATATGACATTTATTAATATTTAGTGTGTCCACCCTTTGCCTTTATAACAGCTTCCACTACTTTCAGGAGACACACTTCCACACTTCCAAAGTTTAGTCTTAGAAGTTGCTTCTGCTTCGCAACTCAATCCAAGTGGTCCCGAACACATTCAGTGATGATGAGTTCTGGACTCTGGGGTGGACAATCCATTGTCCTGAGAACACCAGCATCTCCTTTTCTTAGTAACAGCTTCTTGACAGCTACACATCCTTTTAGATCTGAAGAAATAGTGGAGCTTGATTTTCTCCTCTTTCTCAAAGCTGAAAGCTTTAAGTGCTGTTTATCTGCTGGGGACAGTTTTGGTGGTCTACCTGGTCTTGCACTGTTGTTAGGAGTCCCATTTTCTCTATATCTTTTAATAATTTGTTGAACTCCAGTTTTGGAAACTCCTGTTTTTTCATTTATTTTTCTTTGACTTCCCCTTTTCTCATGCAAGAGGATTATATTTAATCTCCTCAGAAATATCTCCTAAATGAATAATTTGCACTTAATAACTGTTTTGACTAGAAATTAAATACATGAAGGGTGATCTCTGAATTTTGCACAGTACTGTTTCTTTCTCCCTGACTTTTATTACAGTCCTGTGATGAAGCTTTAGGAAGATCTGAATAAGTCACACTTGTTGAATTCTCAGCAGTAGAGAAAGCTTCATTAGTGTTCCATAGACAGTCATATAGCGACACAGTCACAAAGCGACACGTCACTTTTGTTTCTGCTCTGTAAGCTTTCATCCCCTTTTCCTCACTCAGGAAAGGTAATAGTGTTTATCTAACCCACTGTGTTATGGGGGTCAAGATGAGCAACTGATTTTATCTGCTCTCCTCTGTCATCTACATAATCATTTCTAAATAAATCAAAGGCCTGGAAGTCTATTACCTCTGGAAATCAGTCATTTTTTGATGTCATTAGCTTTTTTTCTCAGGCTTGTTAATAAATCTGTCCAAATAGGAAACTATTTTCCCCTGAAAATCATTTACAGGTAATTCTAATATTACATCATTTTTGATAGCAGGGTTGGTCAGAGTTATTATTCAAATGCCAACACTGCCATCTGTAGGAGTAATATGCAATAACAGCTCAAAGACTTCAGGCTCAAATTAGCTTTGAACAAGAAGGTTTGCTGTGTGTACATGCCAAACACACATCTGTTCTTAAGACTTTTGATGAGTACTTGCGTATTTAAAAGCTCTTGAAAATCACTTTTTTTAATTTCCAAAATTATATACTGAGAGATATACACTGATATTCACAAAACAAGAAAAATGAACACTACACCAAGGGTTACATATCATTTTTGCACTATTTAGTGTTTGGAAGATGACAGCCAGTATTCCAAGTGTTTTTACTTGAAGTTTCATCAGCAGTGACTGAAATCATCTTATTAACATAAGTGTACTGGGCACTGCTCTTGTAATGACCTTATTTATTTCATTCGTTATGCACCTTCACTGGTTGTCATTAGAGATGGCAGCAGTCTGATATGGGTTTTGGGCAGATATCAGCAGAAAATGCTGAAGGGAAAAAAGAGCAAATGTGATCCAATCTTGTAACAAATCCGGCCTGAAACAGCACACTCACACTGCACCTTATTTAGCAAAGTTGCATAAAAATAGTACAGATTTGACCGCCTAGCTACTCTGCATCTGATTCATTAAACGCTTGATGTGAATTGAGCCCAAATGATAAATAAGTTCAGTGCTTTATGATTTACATGAAGAACACCCAAATTCATGCACATCTTTCAGTCAGTCAGAATTCAGTGGCTCATTTTACATGTTCATGTAAAATAAGTAAATCTGCTTTTTTACTGGATTGCCATGTGCACAATTCAAGCATATTTTTCATGGTGTTAAACCATTACGCTTACTTTTACGCACATTACTACCAGATGTGAGTTTAACTGTACAGATGTTGGTAAATCTGCATGCACTCACTTTACAATCAGTTTTGATCAAATGCAACTGGGCCAGTGTGTGATATGATGTTAACTGTGTATTTCTTCCTGTGGGGTAGTAGTGTGTTTGAGCAGTTTCAGCATGATAGATTACTTTTAAATGAAAACTGATTTGAATTAAATTTCAAATCATTCATTTTAAATATTAGTAGTTTTTAAAGTTTTAAAGAAGACATATCAGATCAGTCGTGGAAAAGAAAAAGTGGTCTCATGCCATCTTTAGTTATATAGTGCTAGTTTCAGCTATTCTGAGATAGTCCACTCACAGTACTGGCCAATCAGCACAATCCACTAACCCTTAGAAGTTACAGTTATCAGTGGTGACAATGTCTATTTTATTAATATTTTTTCTCTTGTAGTTCAGTGAAACAAGCAGAGAAATTCTGTTAAAATGTGTACATTCTAAACTTTTGGCCCATATTGCATTTGAGGATAGTATTTTATTTTTTCTGGAAAAAAAACTTTTTTTAAAATTTGTATTGTTTTAATCATTTTGTCACACATATAGAAAGTAAAGTCAGATGTGCAGACTTGAGTATGTTCATACAGAATGTAAATTAAATGCAAATGTAATGAATTGCATAACTCGCTATGTAAATATATACAGTACTATGCAAATGTTCGGGCAGCCCTGGTCAAATAACATGTTTTGTTGATTTATGTAAATAAGCGCACACATCCTCTACACACATCCTCTACACATGTTAATGCAAGATGACTGTTTATTTGCTGAATTTAATTTATTGGAAAAAAAATCAAACATGTCATTTGACCAGGGGATTTGAAACTTTTGCATATGACTGTAAATATGTAATAACTCTTGACTTCTAAGGGCTAGTTACTCATTCATTTCCTGTCCTTGGCCAGTAAGCTCTCACACTTTATCCATCAATGCATATTGTTCTCCACTCTGTCTTCAGCAAGCTTCTATGCCATAGTGTATTTTTTGTAAAGCAGTCACCAATCTTATCCACAAAGGGCCAGTGTGGCTGCAGGTTTTCCATCCAATCAAACAGAAGCACACTTGATTCCACTTGTGTAATCAGTCGGTCTTCACACCTTCAAGTAGTTATATGAGCTACTTGGTTGTAAAACCTGCAGCCACACTGGCTTTTTGCAGACAAGACTGGTGAACCCCTGCTGTAAAGCAGTAGGACAGGCCTGGCCCTCTGCTGGCAAGATAGAGCTATAAACACGCATTTAATTGATTCAAATGTGAACATAATTTTCATGTTAATAAAATATGTTACATAAACAAAATTACTGCCAAAAGTAAATAAACAATATTGTGTTCATAAAATACATTTTTTATGTGGCAATTATGTACAGATTTGAATCAAATAAATTCAGTGCATTAATTTTTTTCAGTGCCGGTACTGTAATTCTCCAAAAGAGTGATGATACAGTGAGCCAGCTGCCTGTCTACAGGCAGAGAACTGATACTCTCAGATGCTTGGTGATTACAGGTCCAGCTGACCTCTGCCTCTCTGTTACTTGTCCAGTCCGTTAATGTTTTCAGGCACCAGGCCCTCCAGCAGAGCCAGTGTAGACTCCATTATCTGAAACATACCAAAGCATGCAGTGACTTACTAACTGACAGTGAACACCAACATTTGTTTATGAAAATATCAATTACATGCCTGGGTCCTAAAAACTGATTGGCTGAGCTGTGTTTAAAGCTGCTGTAATGTACTTGATATACAGACAATTATAAGTGCTCTCATCAACTGAGTTCTGCATTAATGCACCAACAAAGAAACATCTTTCTTATATGGACCATTAAATGTAGTACAGATAGGGGGTCCAGGCATAAATATGTGTATGAAGTAAATGGCCCAAAGCCATTTTAAACATACCCAACCTAAGAACCTTGTTTTGTTTGAACTGAGGTGCTGACAACTATAAAATATGACTGTATCATCAAAAACTAAAAACTAAAAAGTTGAACTTCTGTTGGAATACTGAAAGTTCTAAAGTTCTAAAATTATAATTACCACTAATTATTAGCTGAAATATTTATAATAATTATAATTATTAGTTCACATATACATAAATGACAAGACCAGGGCTAGCTTTGGGAACAATGCGTACATTAAAAATAAACTTTAATGATAAACCTACCTATTCAAATAATAACTGTTGTTTATTGCAAATGAAATGAAATTAATGTTTCTTTTTAACTGATAGCACTGGTCAAACAATTGTTTGACCAATCTGTCAGTTAATGTTCAATTGATTAATCATTTACATTCCTGATCTATTTTCACATTTACATTTTGATTAGATGAAAATAATAATGTAGCTAGTCTACTTATTCCTCTAAGGCTTCATGTTGTTCATGTGCAGTTAGAGTCTTCTTTGTGTGTGTTTGTGTATGATGGACCCTACCTGAAAAGTAGGGCTAAGGCCCACCAGGGACTGCATGTTTCTGCTGAAGTAGCCCAGAATGTAATCCCCTGCCAGCAGGGGGAGGTCATCTCTCTTCATGCTTAACTGAGGAAGGTAACAAAAACACACAAAACAATCAAACAGTGAACACACATGCAAACATGCAACAGCTCTCTAAACAAAAGATTAATTTTACAAACCTTTATGTATTTTAAGTTAAATACCATCAATATGTACCTGAACAACTTCATCGACAGCAGCGATCTCGTCCTCCTTGACCCAGACAAAGGCGATATAATCCAAAGCACTTTTAAAGCCAATCTACATTCAGAGCATAATGTGAAACATTAACCACTAAACAGATTAAACCACATAACACTCATTTTCGTACTCAGTACTGCATTTACAACATTATATCTCCTGCACTGTGCTGTTAATTACCACAAACAATAATTTCAGTGAGTTTCACTGTACGTACAAAAGAACTGAAAACCCACTAAAGCCTTTGGGCAACTGCTGAACACAAAACACTCTACTGACACTAAACTGTCAAATTAAAAAAAAATACACATCTTGGAATGAGACAGACATGAGAGTATGTCTTACCAAAGTTGTTTTCATGAAGTTTTAACACAAAAAAGCAGTTTTGGCCTGATTTCTATATGTGATTAGGAACTTGCAAACACTCTGCCCACACTGCTACACTGGTTGTGTATTATTACAAATGCTTTTCTATGAAAAACTAGTCCTGTCTCTGAAAGAATAAATAATACAGATATACAGCTTAATTTACAAATGCATTTGACAAAATCATGAAAATGTTCTACAAAAGTACATTTCGCATAAATGTTTACTCACAGAATTCAGCAACTGCCCAAGTGCTTCTATTAAGTGTGTTTTGAGTAAACAGGTGTCCTGTTCTTTTCAAAGTACAGGGAAATGTATCAAAATTACTGTTAATGGTAAGGGACCCTACAATATAGATACAATAGATCTTCAGTTGAAAGCACTGGAATATTTCTTCAATCCATCTTGTTTTCTCTTTTTTACCCTGGCTCTCACTTTCTCTCCATATCTCTCTATATCTCATTTATGTATCTATGTATCTCTCTATCTCTCTGTGTCTGCATCATTTCCTCCACATCTGTCTCTCTCTGCCTGTATCTGACCTTGTAGAGGCCAATCCAGTCTGAGGTGCAGGCGTCAAACTTCTCCTGAATGGTGTAAGTGAGCACTGCGTCTTCATCAGCGCTCCACTGGCCTTCTGCACTCACACACACCAGCGGCGTCTCCACTTTCTTCTGCAGCTGAGAGAAAAATCACACAAGTCAGTCCTCTTGGCTGCATACTTTTGGCAGTCATGATAGGAAACAGGAGAAATGTCTGGAAAGTTCAACTGATCGATGCAGCGTTCTTGGTCGACTATCAGATGGTGCACCCATCTAAGCATTGACTTCAGAGTTGCAAAATTTAAAGAATTTCCTTGTTCAATTATTGATAACACCAAAAAACAGTTATCGATCAATCATTGACAGGTGTTAAATAAGTAAGGCTTATAACAGAAAATACAAAATGTATAATTCTTCTTTCAAACATACATTTATACCTAAGTGGAATGCTTTCTGTGCACAGGATGTATGTTTTTACTCGCTGCTTTCGGTCAATGTGGTGGTTGGTAACCATGATATAGTTGGCTGTGGTCAGAGCAGTCCAGCAGTCAGCTGTGAGAGCTACAGTTCTAAGTTAGCTGTGCTTTATTCACCCTTCTTCTCCCTGAAGTGTGCATCCACATTTCAGTTTAGAAGAAGTTAGTCAAATCCCTCACTGTTGACAGTGTTTATTACCATCATGTCTTTTTAACGTATTTTGCAAGTTCTCTGTTCAGTTACCAAATTAATGACTGGGTGCCTTTTTTTCAGACGGTACATTTAATGTACTCGTGGTGTAATTATTTTTCAGTGTCACAGTATCGGCATCTTTCTTTGTAAAATGCTCCTACACTTGAATGTTTTGCAGCTTAATGTCTCACTGCTTTGTTGCACTGCATAATTAACAATTACATGGTGCCCCTTGTGTAGAGTTTTAAATCATGATTAATTCAGCAAAGAATGTCAATGAATTTAGCCTAACAGAAGACTGAAAGCTGTTAGATTTTATAATGCAGTCGACTAAATTCTTAACCGCAGTTAATCTTCTATAGATTAGAATGATGAACAACCCTAGTTGGGTCTGTTGTCGGGCGATCTCAAGTTTGACCCCCAGCAATCCCCTGGCCATTCATGGCTGGGAGTTTAAGGAAGCATAACTGGCTTCTTTCTCTCTCGGTGGGTCCATTCACTTAGTGCAATGCTTGTCAAGCAAATGCATGGGACTGAAAGGAGCTAAATGGCTACAAATTTAGACATGTTTCTAGCCATGTATGAAGGAACATCCTTTTATTTTGGAAAGCAGAATGATGTATTTCATTAAAAATCAAAGAAAATTTACCATCTTTCTATTTTTTTACACAAAAGGTTTTGGGCAGTGGGATGCTAGCTTGAAAATTACTGAGTGCTGATTGGTTGGAAAGCTTATCAGCTCATTAGCTGCGTAAGGCATACAAAGTCTCAGAACTAACTTATACAGTGACCTCCAAACTGACATTAAGTATTCTTGTTTTTAGAGTTCAGTTCAGCACTGCTTACCTCCAGGTTAAAGGTGCCGATGACAGGTTTGTGATCACTGACTCCATAGGATGGATCACAGGTGTATATGTCCTGAGTCACCTTCACAAGCGATTCTTCATCATCTGCTATCGACCCACACTCCTCCTCATCCCTGGGTTTTATCCGCCACAGGATCCGATCTGTCCAGGCCGGCTTCCGCTTCTTCCCACTGACCAGTTACATGATGAGAGGAGGCATATAAATAATGGTTAAGGAGTCCAGTCCAGATCAGACACCTCTACTCTTAAGAGAATAGCTTGACTAAACATTTAGTATTTGCATAATCCTAACTGGTAACTATCCATTCATTTAAGCAACAATAACCTTTCTGATTGAATTACCCGTTTAACCTGCAGTTAGAGAAGCAGTCACACAATTTAAAACTGAGCTTATATTACCACACTGGACTGACAACTGGATTAACACTGTCCCCTACTGGACATGATAGGTCACTGTTAACTTGTTAAATAATCTGTTGAAAAGGACAAGAAGAACACAAATGAAAAGTTACATGCAAAGTAACTCACATTCTACACATGCTTGAATCTACCTCTACAGACCAAAACATCACATGCAGATGTATGTTTTAAACAGGGATGAGGGAAGGGAGGGGCACTGTGGGTGCGGCAACACCTCCAGATTTTAGGATTGTTAAACTGCAACTGCTAAAAATAATGAATAAAAAAGATCTGAGCTCTAAAATAATTTGAACGTACTTAAGATCTATGTGTGCTTGTTTTAGAGCAGAATTTGTTTTATTTATAAACTTAAGACCCACATGTACTTGTTTTAGAGTAGAGTTTGTGTTTCATGTTTTATTGATCTACTTTCAAAACCTGCAATAGCCATGTAACATTTAAGTTTATTCTATATTTTCATTAAAGTGAGCCAATCACTTCTCTCAGCAACAGCTGAATGCTTTGTGGGTGTGTCGCTAAAACACAACCAGATTGAGGTGCAAAAAAGGAAAATTTATGCAGAGCTATTCTGAGCCCCAAAGGCTTATATTATTATATATAAATATTATTTTGAAAATAATATTATTTTATTACAAAACAATATTATAATCACACTTTTACATTTTTTATCAGCTGTTAATCTCTTGCTCAGTTAATTCGAGGTACAGTTATAACGCCACGTACAAATAATCTGATTGCCACTCAGCACATTTCACCCACAGCGCAAGAGCAGACTGTGCATGGTGTGTATCAGCGGTTTGTTGTCAGTTATATGAATATATTGTTGTCTTTTGCCATATTATAGCACTTTCCCCTGTCCCTGGTTTTAAAACAGTAATACAGAAGACAGACAACTACCTAATAAACAAATGAGCATGCTATGCTTAGCAGATAAGATGCGATGCCAAGGCTACATAAATTGAGCCATCAAACGCACTCAAATATTTTTATGCCTCTCTATGCGTAACCTTTAGCGGCTTTTCTTACTGCAAAAGCTCCACCATCAGAATTAAAGAGGGCTTGGGACAAAAATGCCCCGAAAGTATAAAAAACGGCCCCTGCAATTTCAAACGTAGGGGCAAAAAGCTGAGTTCTAATAAAAATAAATAAATAAAAATTAGACACGAAACGCAGTTTTAGTGCCTCTGTGCACACAGTACCCTCTTAAAAAATAAAGCCTTCTAAATGGTTGTTGACTAAGATGTAGGGTTCTCTGAAAAACATTCAACTGGTATGGAACCTTTACATCAGGTGTGTCTGATCTTATCTGCAAAGAGCCGGTCTGGCTGCAGGTTTTCATTCAGGACTGCACATAATCAGTTGTTTGAAGGCTGAGCAACTGATTTAACAAGCAGAATCAGGTGGGCTCCAGCTCGTTTGGAATGAAAACTTGCAGCCACATTGGTCATTCGCGGGTAAGATCGGACGGATACCCCTGCTTTACATTATATGGAGGTTTTTTGAGCTTTAAACAGATTCTTCAAAATCTAACATCTGTTTACAAAACTGGTTCTTTAAAGGACTAACTATTGGAAGATTGAATACTCTAAAGAACCAATGTTGGTTCCATTTGCTACTTTTAAGAATGGTTCAGCGATAATGTATGGGACACCTTTCTGTGCCATACAGTAGAGTGAGAGTGTGAGAGTGTGATTTCTGCAAGACGACACATTCACACACTGAGCTAGAGCAGCTCACCTCCCACTGATATACACCAGCTCTCCGACAAAGCTACTGACCAGACCACTGCTCACCGCACTGGAACTAATACTCACTTCATAACTCTAATCATACAAAGTGTGGCAGGTGAATATAGAATCCCTAATCTCACCTAACCTCTGAGCCTCTTACTATACCAAAATGCCTCCATATAGTGCTTCCTGCTATTAATCATTGTGTAGGGAGATGCAATTTGCCATGGCAACAGTCATGACAAACACCAGACACACAATATGAGTTTGGTGTGCAGGAAAGGTGGGAAAAGGCATGGTGAGTTATGGAGCCTATAGCTCAGTGCTCTTTACTGAGGCGAGTGAGGAGTTTAAGGTAGAACCGCGTAAGAGGAGTGACGGATTCTTAGTAAATCTTACTTAAAACCAAACCATGTCTTCTGCGGGCTGTAAGAAGAAAGAAAGCAGAGAGAGAGATGACACAGAGCTCTCTATGCTTACATACTGTAAAAAATTTAAGCAAGCCTGTCAGTTCAACACATTTTTCTCTCCTTTAAGGACCGCTGGGCATTACTGTCCAACTCTTTAGCTGTACTGTACACATGGAGTACAGTACTGTGTAAGCCAGAGACCACATTTTTAAAATTCAGTTTCCAATAAAAATGATAATTAAGAATTAAAAAGAGGAAAATATATTTGTAACAAACGCCTCTATTACTAAGTATAAAATCAATTCTATCAGTATTTTATTTGTCTACTCTTAACTTTTGCACATCTGTTGCGACTTTAACTTTCCATCCTTCCAATCTTAAAACCGAGTTACAGCTGTGTCCTCCCAACAAAAGCTGTTCCCAATTGAGTCACTGAGATTATGTTCCCTTTCAAAGAGATATTAATAACATTTAAGCAAAAGCAATTACCCAAGCACACCTTAGCTGCCTTATAGTTTCTCACAGTTATGTGCATTTAACATGGCTAAAGGAGATATTTCTGAGGAGATATAAGATAATCGACTTGCATAGAAAAGAGTTAAAGGAAGTAAAAAAAATAGTTACCAAAAAACGATTAAGACACAGAGACAACCATGTAAGACCTGATAGAGCACCAAAGCTTTTATCAGAAGAAGAACCGTACAGAAAGCTCTCATCTTTGAGAAAGAGGAGAAAATCAAGCTCCACTCTTGTATCAGATCTGAAAAAAAGGTGTTTCTGTCCATCCTTCCACTGTGAGAAGACAACTCATCACTATGAGTCTGAAGGAATGTGCAGCTGTCAAGAAACCGTTATTGAGAAAACCTCTGCTCTACAACACCAAAACTGGACAACTGAGATTGAAGTTTTATGGACTGGCAAGTCTAAATTTTTAATTGGGAGAGGCAGAAAAGGTAACCAACTTTTATGACTAAACTTTGGAACAGTAGAAAAATATCCTTGTAGATTTCTTTGACAAGCTGAAAACATGTTTCTCAAAGAGTGGAAGCTGTAACAGAGGCAAAGAAAATGGACTAAAAGCTGAAAATGTTGATATTTGTTGGTTGTCAAGGCTTCTGTGTAATTTTCTGTAAAAAATCTTTATGCTTTTTTTCTGACACTGAAAATGAAATAACTTGTAAATCATGGGTGTTTTCATTGGAAATTATGTAAATGAAAGGTAGTCTGACTTCTGCACAGTACTCTATGTGGTGCATATGTGTGTTCTGAGAGAGGAGAGTGTGAGGGGTTTCTACCTTGTGTCATATGTCTCGGAGAAGCGGTCGAATTTGTATGTGGGTTTGAACTGCAGAGGCCCTTCCTCAAACTGCTGCAACAGCGGCTCCTTCTGCTTCATCATCAGCAGCTAACACACACACACACATACGTCAAATTCAGAGTAGCAAAGACAACATTTGCACATTCAGCACGGGTGATGCATCCCAATGAGGAAAATCCACAGAAAGAGCACAACAGGATACACATACAAACATATGCGCACATACAGGACAATATTTGTACAGCATGGACGAACACTCACATCATAGAGTGCAAACAGTTTATTCGTACACTGAATGACCCAAAAGATGTTTACGGAGTTCTGTGGGATTCTGTTTTGTTGGTGTGCATGTCTTTGTGTGTCTAACTCACTTGGTCTTTGCTCCACAGCAGGTTGAAGCGGCCGCTGTTGATGGAGGAGCGCAGGAAGTGCAGGCCATGGTCCGCGATGCGGAAGTTCAAATCACCAAACCAAAACACCACCCTTACACACACAATGGAGCATCAGTGTGTGCATGTGAGTGAGAACCACATACATTGGTGTTTTATCAAAAATATGTGGAAAAATTATATTAACAGCACCGTACAAGAGGCCACCCTTTATTTATTTTATTTCTAACCAAAAGGGCCATCAAGTACAAGTTATTCATTTTTCAGTGTCAGGAAAAAAAGCAAAAAACATATATTTAACAGAAAATTACACAGAAGCAAAACTAAAAATAAATTTCAATATTTAGTGTGTCCACATTTTTCCTTTACTACAGCTTCCATTCTTTTCAGGAATCTTAAGGGATATTTTTCCATACCTCCAAAGTTCAGTCTTAGAGGTTGGTTGCATTTTCTGCTTTTCACAATCCAAATAATTCTAATTACAAAATTAAGCTCATCAGTCCATATTTCCAGATTTCTAGTTTCAGTACTTTCTTCTTTGTTGTCCTTTCCTTTTCCTTTTCTCAGTGAGGCTTCTTGATAGCTACATGTTTAAGAAATTTGGGTAGGTGCTTGTGTAAATGTTAGTGTCTCTTTGAAAGGGAACATAATATCAGTGACTCCTTCAGGAACAGCTTTTTGTTGGAAGCGGCACGAAAGTGCACAAAAGGAAAGAGTGGACAAATTAAACACTGATAGATTTGATATTATACTTAGGAGGCTTCTGTGTTCTGTTAAACACGTTTTTTGACACTGAAAAATAACTCTGACACTGAAAAAGGCTTAAGTACAGGAAGTGAAGCATGTGAAAGAGTGGTCTCTGACTAGAGTACTGTATACAAAGTACTAGAGTATTACATCATATGAAGAAAATGAGGATGAAAAAGGGGACTAAAGTGCTATAAATACTATAAAAACTATTGTACTTGTGTGAGTTGTCCTTTATGTGTAGTTTCCAGTATATCTGTATACACTAACTTGTGGTCAAGCACATGCGGCGTGTTGTAGAAGTCAAAGTCTTGTGAGTCCAGGATGTACTCAAACTCATCCACGCGCTGCACAGCATAGTTCATATGTGCTGCCAGGTGACAGTTCAGAAAGCAAAGCATGTGGCCATAGAAGGAGAAACGCACTGACACGCCACCTTTATTCCCCTGTGGAGTTATAATATTACAAAGGACCTTTCTTCAGTTTTTAAAAAGCATATCAAATATTCTTGAGAGTCTTAAAAGAACAGCACCAAAAATCTTCTACTCTGAGCATATAAGTTCATAGTGTCTGAGTCTAATGATGGGATAGGAGGTTGCATAGCTGGCATCATTTTAAAGGAATAGTTTGTTGAAACAATCACATTTACACAATTTTCTTGCTAGCCCAAATGTAGCCGTTCTGCCATGACAGTCAAAAAGTTTGCTGCTTTAGGTTTGCACTGGCATTACAAGGCTAAAGTAACAAGCAATTTTATACCCTCCTATTTGCATCAAATTAGGGGTCCACAATTAAAATCAGCCAAGACTGGAATTGGCCTTTTTTTCCAAACATGCCATCAGGCACTTTATTATTTTTATTTTGGTCAATCTGTGTTGCAGTTTTATTATGTAAATAACATGGGGCAGGTACAACTGAATTTCCAAAAAAGTTGTGATGCTGTGCAAAATGTAAATAAAACCAGAATGCAATCATATGCAAATAATATAAATCCCAAAGACAACATATCAAATACAGAAACTGAGATTTTTTTAAAATATATACTAAAATAAATAAAGCATGACTTATTGTGGCAAATAGCCAGCTACCTCCAACTTTTAATGTAACACTTCATTTAATTCATGTCAAATAGGCAACTGACTTATCATTGAAGAATGTACCATTAAAGAACCACTAATGTCGCAGCTTGTGTTAAGAGAGAGAGGCTAGTGTGGTTCATATGTTTATTTTGCCTACACAGATAAAAAAAACATCAGAAATCAGCCAATTTGACTGTAAAAGAAAAGAATGATAGAATTTTGGTCATAAAATTTCATGATTTTTGCACATCTACCTCAAACCACGCCGAGTTGTTAAAAGGGAATTCCACTGACTTTTTTTTATAATTTCTGCATAATTAAATGGTTTAGATGTAAACAAAGTCATTCAAGGTAATTCCACAAACACTTACTGAGTCAGATTTGTTCACAGTTGTGGTGATACAAACCAGACACCAAAAATGTATAATGCCTCTAAAACTACACAGAAAGCTATTGCATGAAATGGTTATGAATACACTGCTTGATGCCTCACCTACTGTTTTATGGTAGTTTTGAGATAAAATTATGGCCTAAAATGTGTGGATTATTATTTCAATATAACACATAAAAGATCAGAATACATGCATAAGATCACTAGTCATCATGGATAGTAAACAAAATGACTGTTTTTGTGTTGTCAACATTGTGACCCCTGATACCCCAATCACCACTGTTAGCAGAAATCTAAGTTGGTATGTTTCTCTAGAAGGAGAATTTCATATTAAACCACTCTGAATGACTTTGTTTACATCTCAGAGACTGAATTATTTACAGGTTTTGAACAATCAGTGGTTATATGTCAAAATGCAATACAAATACTGTTCTTGCAGTTTTCTTTCATTGCTAAGTTTCCAACAGAAAAACTCTTCCACTTAAAAAAGAGAGTTACCCAATAGCCAAAAATGCCGGTGCGGGTGTATGTGCTCTGGATGTCCCGGATAAAGGGAAGATGCGCCTGCTTAGCAAAGACCATCAGGAGGAGACCCTGCATCCTCACAGAGGTCACCTGGGGGCAACATACACAAACACACATGCATACAATTTACATACTGTGCATAACATTGCAAATGAGCAGTTTAGCAGGCCATTGAGGTGTCACGATTGTAGTTCAATTAGCCGTTCCACAGTCATGAGAACGGCCTTTGGCATTTGTGGCATTTTTCAGTCTCGCAGCTCACAACAGTCAGCGAAGTCCCATAGAGAAAGGACAGCGAGAACTGACCTGCCCTGAGAATTCCCTCATGTGGTAGAGGGGTGAGGACACAGAGCTTAAACTCACAGCTAATTACCCCAGTTAGCAAAGGTTGACCAATCAAAGTTGTGATTGCATCACCTAAATCTGCTGGTGGAACACAAAGAGGCCAGTGTTCTCCACCGTCCCAGCTTACAGCAGGCCTTAATGAGAGATCGCCTGAAACCAGCTATTGTGTATCTACTCTACTGTCAACTACATAACTGAAATAGCAGAGAATAACAGTGCCACTGTCGAGTGGAGGTGGGCTATATGACAACATGGTATCACTATCATGATCGATGACATCACACCATGATAACGCTTTTATGTGTGTATGATGGTTTTCATCAGTACTTCTAGAACACTGAGCAAGTACTTGTTCCAAAAAGACTATTATAAGATTATTATAAGCAATTATAGACAATAGCAAGTGTATAGCAACTGCATAAGCTACACAGTAACAAGTAGCCCATTTTGCCATCTTTTTGTTTTAATGTCATTCAGTTGATTAAACTGATTAGATTTTTCTCCATTCTTTTAAAACATTGAATTTCAAAACACCAAAACAGCTGTTCTGATGCTGAACCTTTTACATTCTAACTTGTTAACAAATCTAAAAAGACAAAAAATCATGATAAATGTAAGCACTGCTCAATAAAATAAGCACTGCCTAATAAAAAGAAAACAGTAAACAGGAAGCTCTAAAGCCATGAGTGTGGATTTTTTTTTACTCTGTTTTTCTGTAATAACGAGTTATTTCATTTGTTATTTATATCACTATCATGACACAATGAATGTTGTTTTCTCAAGACCTCACTGTATCTATGCCATTATCATGACATAACAAACATTATCTTGATAAAATAATGCCTGTTGTGTTGTGATAATGATTAGAGCTTCCATACTTTTCAGAATTGTCACTCATTCATAATATTGGCTCTGTCTTTCTACATATTTGACACGCCTAAATAACAGCACACCCTACTGTTAACACCCTAATATTAACACGTTGTCCACATTTTTTGCTTCAAACTCGTTTACATTCATATTTTCTTAACTGTCATATTCATATCAACACTTAAATTTTAAAATGATTGGACATGCTGAATTGCCCCTAGGTGTGAGTGAGTGTGTGACTGTGTATGTCTGTCTGTCTGCCCTGCGATGGACTGGCGATCTGTCCAGGGTGTATCCTGCCGTCCGCCCAATGACAGCTGGGATATAAAATATATAATATATATATTTTGTATATATATAAAATCACAGAATCACACAGAACACGCACACAGCAGTGTTCCATACCTTGACAAAGCCAATTGGCCCCAGAGTGTTCATGAAGAGGTGGCTCCATGAGTCTTCTGCTATCAGATCAGAGACATACTTTACTGGAGTGGCTCTCACCTCCTGCAGACTGCAATGGTGGAGATTCCCCATCATTACTTTTGAACCATAAATGAGATCCTACTTCAAATAATGTAGAACTTTGCCTGTCTATTTTATTTTACTAAAAGAATAACCCCTTTCATCAGTTAAAGTATGACATATCAAAATCATGTCAGTTTCTCACCCAATCACAAAAAGGTCAGCAGGGGTGTCAGAATCCAGCTGCAACAGTGACCTAACATCATCTGGAGGCTCTGCTGTAGCGACGTTCCATGTCACTATGTGCAGTCTAAGAGAGAGAGAGAGACAGAAACAGACAGACAAAGAGAGATGGTTCAACTCTTACCTCTTCTTCTCACTGAGAAAGTCAAAGGAAGTGAATTAATAAATTCAGTCCTTTTTACTGTAGCTATAAAATGCAATTCCCTTCTGTTTTGGACGAGGTCCTTTAGTTGACCTATGCATGTTTTTATTAAAGAAAAATCACGATCGTCTTTGTAGAGAGGCTGTTTTTACAGCAGGGTGTTCTCACCTCTCCCTTTTCACCCCTCACTGCTTGCTAGAAGCTCAAATCAGAAACAGTATCCTAGTTAATTGGGTAACAGAATTACAGGGGAATGGGGATTATATTAATTTAAAAAATCCAAGTCAGTTTCCATTCCGCTGATGGAATAACCACAAAGGGAATAGCAAAAAAGAGGCTAAAGGAAAAAATGAAAAGGGAAATATTCCAACCTTTCGTATAATTGTGTAACTTTTGTTTGGAAAAAGAAAATTAAATTGGCAAACACACACAGTAAAATTCAGCAGCTTGCCTGTCCAAATCGAACTAAAAAACTAAAACTCGAAACTAAAACATCCAAACATTCCCATTCCAAACACAACAAATACACTCTTAAAAATAAAGGTTCCTAAATCGTTCTTGCAGTGGATGTACAGTTCCACTAAAAATAACCTTTACATTATATGAAGGTCCTTCAAACTTTAAAAGAAGCTTCCATTCAAAGATCCTTTAAGACCTACAGCGTCCGACAAAAGCAGAAAGTAGTGTCTATAAAATGAAACCAAACAGCAGACCTGAGAATCAGCAATAGGGATAAATAAAGGAGCAATGGATCAAATGGAAAGTGAAGGAAAACCGATCAAGGTATAACATCAAGCACATGAAGATGACTAAACTGACTACAGCACAAAACACCTGAAGAATTCTCCGCTATATCGTCCGCAAAGCTGGAAGGCTTCATCCAGGGTGCGAGACACCTCCTCAGTGGCCTCATCATCAGAGCTGAGGTCCTCCACACATGTGAGGAGCTGAGAGAGCCTCTGCCGCAGCATTGTTCTGCTGGACGCTGTGCTGGAGTTGCTATCCGAACGCAACCGTGGGCCTTCCAAAACTCCCGCCATCTTACTGCCACTGCTGTTGGGGTCTTTGTTTTTTTTTCCTCTAAATATGACGATTTAAAAAAAAAAAACTATATCTTCAAAGTTCAGCACTTTTTAAACAAGTACAACATATAGTTCCATGAAAATTCCTAGTCCATGCAGAACTTTTCACATGAATCTTCCAAAGTTCCAAATTTAAAAACTCAAAAAAAGCGTGTTTTTCAGAGTTTTTTGATTTTCAGACAGATTCCTGATCTCTGCTGTAGGTTCCTTGACTTCACTCATCAGTTCCTGAGTGTCCCAGCCACAGTGGCAGTAGGAATATGGGCTTTTGGAAGCATGTAGAGAGTGAGATTAGGTCGTGTGATCTGGAGCAGGCCAGCCGCGTGAGAGGGCTTGGTATGCTGATCTCCGCTTCACTGAGTGTTTTGTTACTGAACTTAGGTAATGCAACTGAATGGCGTCAGATGCTAAGCCGGTTTATAAGACTATTTGCTCTGGCAATGTGAATATTGCCCTCATCCTGCATAGACAGATTAAAAACTCACATTTCTCTGGAGATAGACCAAAGGTTAAGCATAGAAATGCAAGGCTGAAGATAAAAGCCTGAAATAAACATGCCTAGCAATGCTTTCCACCTACACTCTGGGTAATTTATTCCAATTTCTCTGAGGTAAAACTACTTGATAACACCAAAATGTTTTGTAATTAATCAGGTAAAGATTTATGGCTGATCCTTCATAACCTTATTATTTTCCCTAGAATCCTTCTTTTTAGCCCTTTTTCCTTCCTGTTACTCTGACAAATCTATACAAGTACCAGTCCATTTGCCTCCATCCTAGCCTCACTTGTTTTTGTTCGTTTGTTCATTCCTTCTCTTCCATCTATTAGCCCTTTTGAAGTTGCAGATGTCACTAGTAATAAAAAAAATGGTGTAATTTGACTATTTTTCATTAGTAGCTCATTGACACAAATGAAAAAGATTCTAAAGTTTCAGTTGAGACCACCAGGAGAGGAAATATGTTATTAAATTAAATTTGATGCAAAGCTGTTATACATACATCGATCTTTTGCTGAAAGAACCCCCATTATTTCCATTTTTGCCTCATATTTCTTATTTGACATAAACAAAACAGAAAAAAGTCATAAGTACAGGTTTGTACTTCTGTAATCAATGTATCATTAAACTTATAAACAGGTATTGTGTTTAAATAGCATAGCAAAATGACAGCAGTAATTCTAGACTATTCTTTCAACTTGATTTATAGTAAATTTGAACTCTGTTTCTGCTCTAATATCATGAGTACAGAAAAAGTCCCTGTCACACTGGGACATGACTGTGCGTGGAGATGTTCGAAGAACTGCTAGGCCTACAGGGCTGATGAATCAGTCATATGCAATGAAGCTGTCCTCTAATCTCTTGACCTTCCCTCAGGTAAGACTGGCAAAACAGTCTGCTTGCCTGCTTGGTAAACAGTTCACTCCAAATTTTAGTCAAAAGCGTGGTCCTTTTGAACCAATTCCAGTTTATTTATCAACTAATCCACAAATAAAGTACAAACTGGCTGTATTTCACTAGCAAACCAGTACCATGGTCTTTTTCATATTTAGTAATGTTAAACACAATTGCAAGTCTGTATATGAAAAACATAAACAATAATAATAATAATTATCAGGCCTGGACCATATACATTTCGGACAACAGCATGTTTCACTAATATAGCACCTTTCGCAATCATAAGATGTGATTTGTGCTTGTATTTATTTATTTTAATTAAATGCAACTTACTTAGCCCACACTCTTAAACAAAAAGGTTCCCTGATGGTTCCATAATGGTTCTCTTCTTTTTTATCTATCTACCTACGGTATGGTGTAAAAGTCAGACCACCCTTTATTTATGAAATTTCCACTCAAAACAGTCACGATTTGCAAATCAAACAAAGAAGCTGCTGGTCCTCTCAGAGCAACGGACTGACCACTTCAGAGTCCAGACCTCAACGTCACTGACTGTGTTTGGGATCACTTGGGTTGTAAGAAGCAGAAAATAAAACCAACTTCTAAGACTGAACTTTGAAAGGGGTGGAAAAACTATCCATGAAGATTTCTTTGCAAAACTGAATGCAGACGTCCTGAAAAGAACTGAAACTGTAATAATGGCAAATGGCGGACACACTAGCCTGTACTTAATGACCGTTTTGACTTCAAATTGAAATCAAATAAATGAAGGGTGGGCTCTGATCTACCTATCTGTTGTTTATTTATCTATTTGATAATTAAATAATAATAACTTTTAGCAGTGCACTGATCCCAGCTGTTATCATGACCACTAAAATCTAGACTATGTGTTTTGTAACAATAGCAATGCAAAGCTCTAGGATATTGGCACATCTACTCAATCCTATTACATTCCAGTCTGATCCCTCTATTGAATGCATGTTGCTTTAATCATCTTACAGGGAACTGGGTAATGGACAATGTGGAACAAAACCCCTTTTCTTTAAGAGTCTCATATTCCAGTCCCTGAGATTATGACGTCCCCTGGCACTGGACATATTTGACTTCTAAAACTCCTTCCCAACTCACCACAGAATGACATCATAACAGATAAGGATGCTTCACTGTTGGTATCAGTGTGGTCAGCGACAATCATACCTGCAGGCATGGTGTCTTCGTCTATTTCTTAGAGCTCCAGCACTCATTTTCCAGCCTACACACAAAACACCACACATGGGGTTAATCACAACAAAACCATTCCTCATTCATCAGTAAGCTTACGGCCTGAAAAGCTTTTGCACATAATGAAAATTCAAGGTCACATAGACTGCAGTCAAATGTGTCCCCACATTGGCAGATACTGGACATTTAGAAACAGCAGGGTCCAGTGAATGGAGACTTAGGATGATGAGAAAGTGCTTGTTCCCATTTCTTTGTGTTCAGCTATCATATTTGCTTTTTGAACCGACCAGATCAGCACAAAACTAACACACACTGGAAAAAGTAATGCACTGGATTTACGTAGTGCAACGGTGTAGATTATTTTCATTCAAAATCAACAGAAATACTTCTTTCAATTTAACTAAGTTGGTAACAGCCTTGTAACTTTTCAGGTGAATTAAAAAAAAGCCTTCCTACCTTTGAAGGAAGGATTACTAACGGAAGTTAGTAATATTTTTTAACGTAATTTTAGACCACATTGTTTGGTCCATTCATCGTGACATTTTAACCAAATGTTAATATAAATGGCAGCTGTTATTGTCAAATTGTGTACATTTTAAATAATAAAACACCTAAAAAGAAAGATACAATATTTTGTTTCAAGTTAATTAACTTTTTTTTAGGAGTAGTAACTATCATAGTTGGACAAACCAAGCATCAATCTGTAATGTGGGGTTGTCTAGAATTACACATTCAAACTAAACCATAACGTCTCGAAACTTCCCTCAGAGAGCATTAGCAATCTACCTCAGGCATCCACTGCTCAAGTTTTCTGGTCTGACTTTCTTGTGGAAGCTAGTATACCAAAAATATCACCACAGCAATTCACAACAACCCAGCAGTGCAGATAGTTAGATTAAAGCAAAGTACCCCACCTTTGGAGATAAATATGAGGTAGAAGCCTTTAGCTCTCGCCGTGTGCGTAAAGTTCTGCGGTGTCCAACGATGGTTTATGTAGAAGCCAAAAAAGTGCGTGGCGTTGTTTTGTTTTTTCCCCACCCGCATTCAGGCAAGTCCCGCCCTCTTTACTAGGATTGGCTAGTGGTTCATACTGCGTCGATCACAGTAGCATGAAGTGTTATCCAGTCATAGCGCAGAGGGCGGGGTTTGTGTGAATATGAGCGGGAAAAACAACACGGGTGCGCGAGGAGCCTCGAACTCCAGTGCTGAAAAATCCAGTTTTAGGAGTTTATATGCTCTCTGTAGGAGACTGTGGTTGCTTTTATAGTCGATCAGTGACTGATTTTCCAAAATTTTCTCGTTTTTTTACTTGAACATTCAGTCTGAGCCCTTACTAGTGATTACTAAAATTACTAAACAACCTCCTGTTAGTTCCTCATTTTACTAATCTCACTTTCAGAGAAGATAGTGAGGTTTTCTCTGACGTAATTCATCTCCAGGCCTCGGTCAATGAGACTACATGGCACAACATGACTGATCCAGGCTGTCATGTTTCCAGGTATGAGGAACCCATGAGACTGCTACAAAAATAATGCAGATTTTTTTTATTTTACCCTTTTAAGTCTAGAGTTATGACTGTTGTTTTGCCATCCTATTTAAAGGTAGTAATGTAGTTACAAAATTAAATGCATGGCATTAATTACAACTTTTTTTTTACGTTTACAAATTTACATTTGATATACATTCTGTAGCTACATGTCTGAGCTGACACTTCTAGCTTTTTTCTGCTTGTTTGAAAATCAGGAAAAAAATATTATGGCAGTTTATATCCACAAAACCAGCTTGTATGCTCAGTTTTTCTTTAAATTCGAATCATAATGAAATATCTCCCTTTCTACTTACAAACCTTGATGTGATCCTGAATGTAATGTAATGTATGTGCACAATGGCAAACAGGGTCATTCCAGTTCAGCTTTCCCCCCAGTGTCCAAATCATGGTCTCCCATTGCTGAACATGGCCCCTTAAGCAGGGTTTAGGTTAATCTGGCTACATCTGACCACCAAATCCTGATTAGACCCAAGTGCAGAGTTGAAGGGGCTTACAGTCCCCATTCCCACACACACAGAGAGCCAGACCCTTCTCTCACAGCCTCCATCTGCAGCGCCTGAGTGGGTAAGGGATTTGTTTGTGTGTTGGTGAGAGGGTGGTCTGTAAGTTTGACTCAAGTGCGCTCACTGTGACGTTTTAATGGGGGCCTGGGGATACATAGGGATTTAAAAACATGGGGCCACCAGAGAGATGGAGGGCTAGCTGTTTAACACAGATGAACTCATTAAACAGGAACACTAGAGCCTGTTATTCACTGAAACCATGTGTTTAACATGCTCTCTGTTAGTGAACTCA